TCGTTCTCAGCGGCGATCCGCAGCTTCGGGTCGATGGTGCCCTTCAGCGCCTGGATGATCCGGTTAGGTCCATCTCCCCGGGGGGGCTCCGCGGCCCCCGGACCAGTAGGCCAGACTGCAGCTTGAGTTTTCCTTTGGACGCCCTCAGCCTCCTCCTCTGCGATCCCCGCACCACCTCACTCCCCACCCCCCGCCACCGTCGCCACCTGCAGCCACTTGCTGCGCCACTCTGACTCCGCGCCCCCTGTCCTCCCTTCCTACCCCCCACAACTCGCTCTCCATTCACCCTTTTACGACAGCCGGTGGGAGGCGGGAGAAGTCAGAAGAGGAAGCGGCGCCTCCTTTACGGCGGCCTCTTCCCCCGGGCGCGACGCGATGGCCGCGCCCTCTAGTGGCCACCATGCTGCTGTACGGAAAGCGGTCCCGGCCGCTTCCCCGGAGGCAAGCCGCACTCACGAGCTCCGGCAGGCGGCCGCCATGCTGCCGTACGGACGAAAAGCCTCGCGCCTCTTCCCAGATGGGGAAACAAGCTGCCTGGGGGTCTCTTTACAGCTGCTTCCAAATTAAACATATACAGATGGAGTGGCACTTCCTGTTAGTCTGAGAACTGTTTGAGCGTCACAACTGAACCTGTTCCAGGGCCGACTGGTGGGGACCTCGGGATTATCTAAACATAGGAGGGCAGGGTTCTCTCGGTCTGTGGGAGCCAACATGCACTCATTCATTCACTCACTCACTCACTCACACTCACTCGCTGAACGTTTTTTAAACATGTAGTTTTGAGCCAAGTACTGAGATATCTAGGTACCACGTTATAACAAAATGAATTCGGTGCAGGTTACAATATGATAGAAGACGCAAATGTAAACGGGTAAAATATACTTACAAAGTACCTGTGGAAATGCGGAGATCAGAGAAACCACATGCCTGGGGGTTTCTGAAAATTTTCCGCATCTTCTCAGAAAAGTAGAGGAAGGCAGAAAAAGTTATACTGTTTTCACCCACTGTGGCCATATCTGACCCCACAATTTCAAAGGCATGAAAATATGAAGGAGCTACTTTTCCCTGAGACTAACTCAGAAAAGAGAGTTCTGATTATGTTTGTAAAGAAGATGACTGTGGGCAAAATACATCTGAAGGGTCGTCATCTTTCCAGGAGCAGATAATTGAGACCGATGGGTTCATTCAAGAGGGTAGAAAATATGTGTAGGAAAACTTGGCTGCCTGAAAGCTCTCCCCTCTGCAGAGGGTGTAAATGGGACCACGGCCTTCAGTTGGGTGCAGAAGTGCCTAGCAATGTCTCTCTGGTGGCTTCCAGTTTTGCCCACTCTACGTTTCCTTCAGAGTAATGCTTCTTACAGGTTAACACTGTCATGTCCCTTTCTTGATGATTTACCATCAATTTCAAGATACAATACAAACTCCTTAACGCTCCAAGTTTCTGTAAAACAGGTGCCTTTCATCTCCACATTATTTCCTTAACCCACTCTCTTGGCTCTCACAGTAATCTAAACTCTGACCCCTGAAATCTTTGTTTGTTTGTTTGTTTGTTTTACATTTTTTATTGATTCATAATCATTTTACAGTGTTGTGTCAAATTCTAGTGTTCAGCACAATTTTTCAGTCATTCATGGACATATACACACTCATTGTCACATTTTTTTCTCTGTGATTTATCATAACACTTTGTGTATATTTTCCTGTCCTATACAGTATAATCTTGTTTATCTATTCTACAATTTTGAAATCCCAGTCTATCCCTTCCCACCCAACCCCCCCCGTAACCACAAGTCTGTATTCTCTGTCCATGAGTCTATTTCTGTCCTG